TGTCGTGGTTTCCCTGCTAATTGTTTCTAGAGGGAAGCAGCAGCGATATATCCAGTTATTACTGCAGAAAGCATCAGCTACTCCAATTAGCCACAGGTTTAGGAAACTTGCTCCGAGCAGGCAGGGACTTTTCAAGAGGCAGGCAGGCAGGCAGGAGAGGGATTTGTGTGCTGAGGATACACACACACAGCTCAATAGATCCCGCGGAGCCGGGGCTGCACAGGAATTAAAGACTTATCCAAATGAAAGCAAATAGGGTGTTAAGCGACACACATGTAGAGCGAGCGGTTTCCTTGGAAACCAGCGCACATGGAAGCGGCACACATGCAGCGCCCCGGCATTTTCGGCAGCGCCGGGGCAGCCGTGGGGCTCTGCCCTGACGGGGATGCTGGAGCTTGGCTAGGGATGGAGTCGGAGCAAAGCCTCGTCCCGTTGGGGTGCCTGATGCAGGGCACGGAGAAAAATGCCACGAAATGCACTTTCTCCTGATTGTGAAGGGAAGCCGGATGGTGCCCAGCTTTTCTGGCCCCACTCACCTTAGAAATTCAATCCCTAAGGAACAGTGATGGGCAAAGACTCAGCCAGCCCCCCCCCAGCCCAGCCCCTGCCTCCCGGCATAAGTAGGTTTCATTGATTTTTAAAAGTCCACCTGGAGCTTCCCCAGCTCATCCATCCCTCGGAGCTGCTCCTCACCCATGCCCACAGGCCAAGGGCTGTTATGCTGCTCACAGCAAGAGCCGTTGGCAGCACTCAGCCCCTCGCCCGGCGAGGAAATAGGTGAGATTTCCAGCTGACCTACTGCCACCCATGTCCGTTACGGCTGTTAATGAATTTACCAAGGTAGGGAGATGTTGAAGAAAACCACGGCACTGGCAGATTAAGAGGGTATCAGAGCCAAAAGGCCCTCCTCCGCCTTCCCCAGAGCCAAAGCCCGGCCGTGAGATAGCCCGTGTTATCCCGCTGCAAAGGATTTCAGGGTGACTGATGGCACGAGACGATGGAGCCATTGGCTGCCAGCCTTCCCCCCCGCCGCGGTGGGATGTGGCGATGCACCCCCAGCATGCAGCACCCGGGAGGGACCTCACGCCCCGGCACGATGGCCGGGGGAGAGCTCTAGAAAATTTAAATATCCCCAAAGCAGCCTGCTAGAGCAGGGCAGGAGATCCTGGGCGGGCAGGGAGGTGAGCAGGGTGCCCAGCGTCCTGGGAAACATCATCCCGGGCGATGGGGCGACGGCTCGAGAGCTCCAGCCTGCGTCCCGCCGGTGCAGGAGGCAAAGCGGAGCTGCTCCTCCCGCGGGGTGGAAGCGCTGCGAGCACCAGCTGAGAGCTGAGAGTCAATCTGGGCTTTTTTCTTGGCTTGTCCCCAGTACTAAAAAGTTTCTATAACAGGCACATAGTTAGCAATTCTGCTGCTGATGCTTCGCCAAAGAGAGATTCTAGCTCCTTCTTCAGTGGCTAACAGCACAGGGGGTGAGGCAGGGAAAAAAAAATTGTTTGCAACCGAGTCCGTTATTGTGGCTTTGGGAAAGAGCTGCAGAGCGCGGGCAGGATTTTACCTTCTTATTTTAAACCAGCACCTCACCGCTTCCACACTCGTCTCCCCTCGCAAAAATAGGTCAGCAATATTAACCCTACTCCGCAGGACTTGCCCAAGGGGACAAGCGGCACCGTCTGAACGCTTGACCCAACTCCCCCAGCCGCAGGTCTGTGCTCCCCCCGCCCGGCCCCGCGCTGCCGAAGGGAACTTCATTGACTTTCTAACACCCTGCGACTCCCCCCATCCCTTCGCTCTCCCCCGGGGCTCGCCGCAGCAAAGCCGGGCAAATATTTATGCAGCTTAATGTTCTAATAAGAATTGATTCATCCAGGATTGTTAAAGCGACTGTGTTAAAGGTCAGTTCCCAGATTAAAGTCTTGGGATGCTTTAAGGAACCGTTTCTTTGCTACAGAAGAACAGTTTGTTTTCCGCCGTAACTGACTCCTCGCAATCAAACTGCAACGGGTGTGTTACACACTGCACGGAACGCAGCAGAAAGTGGGATGAAGCTTTGAAGGGTTCCATGTAATTACGGATTTGCAAGAGGAGGCTGTGCCTCTGGATCACTTTTGGGGAGGAAGGAGAGCAACAGGCTCCTCAGAGACCGCACTGCAAGTCACGCTCCCGCTTTCCCCAAAATTGAGATCTGTCTAAATCATCATCACCATCATCATCATCACCTGCAAGCTGCCTGCCAGACACCCAACATCAAGGCAAGGGGTGGCATGTTTCAGCCCCACTGCCGCCCATCCTTCAACCAGAAGAAAACCACCCTAAATACCAGCAAAAAGGGAATTAACACCCCAACAACCCCCCAACCCACGCTGCTGAGCTGTCCCCCCGCCTTTCCCAAGAGTTTATTTATTGCCGTTTGGGCTTCGGGGTGAGCTAACAAGCACCGAGCGCTTGTCCCCAGGCTGGGGACGCCGAGGCCGTGGCGCTGCCCGTTCCGCAGCCGAGGAGCCGCGAGGAACTCGGGGGACGCAACACATTTCCCGAGCGGTCTGTGAGGAGGAGGAGGAGGAGGAGGAGGTGGCGGCGAGCAGCCGCGGTGGCAGAGCGCAGCCTTCCAGCCCAATTACTATCACATGGGGGGACACATGGATTGGTGACATTTGACATTTTCTACAAAATATTTTGATGCAAAATGGCACCTCCGTCACAAATTATTTTCCAAATCTTGGCCTGGGTTTGGGTGGGATTTTTTTCAGTGTGGGTTTTGTTGTTTGGTTTTGTATTTATTTTAATTTTTTTTTTTTTGTCTGGGGGAGGGAGAGGATTGCACAGAGTGACATTTGCAAATGAGCAAAGGAAAGGATCATCATTTCCCCACCGTAAGCAGAGGGGTCACAGTGGCCGTGGCGCTGGGTGGGCAAAGCAAACAGCACCGGGCGGGGGCTAACGAGCCAAAAAAAATTCCGGGCTTTGCTTTGGGGCATTGCCGTGCCCCTACAAGGCCCTTGGGGACCCTCAAAGGACTTTTTTCCTGACTCCCTTCTACCCCGGCAAGGGAAGCCACAACCGCTGCCCCGGCCTGGGAGCATCGTGGGGCCGGAGACCCCCCCACCCTCGGCAAGGCAGGGGTTACCAATCAGACACCTCGGGAAAGCTGAAATGACTTTAAATGCCTAAACATTTTAAAACAAACCCTGGAACAATTCAGCTCCTAACTCCTTGCCTGCTTTCTCTCCCTCCTCGCTCTCTCTCTCCCATTTTTACGGTTTCCAGAGCTGTTTTACGCCTCATTACCTGCACACTGTGAGTGATGTCTGTCGGTCCTAGAGCTGTAAATACCTTAAATCATGCTTCATTAAGAATATCTATGGTGCTATTAAAGAGCTATAATAGACAACGAGTTAACAGATGATTAAATATGAACTCCATTTGTGTCAGTCACCAGCGTGCAGGAAGAGGCTTTAAGTTTTTTAAACTCGCTCTCATTATCTGGGAAGCAGGGTTGCAGGTGGCGGGGATGGAGGGGGATGGAGGGATGCTCGCAGGGGGATGGAGGGATGCTCGTGTGGGGATGGGGCACAGGGATGGGACACCTTGGGGGGACCAGCTCCTCTGCTTTGTGACTCTGAGCTGATGATTCCTGGCAGCCCGTTGCTCGGCTGTTCCTACCGTGCAGGCAAACGGCACCTGGCGACACGTGCAACAGTTTGATCTTTTGGGTCTAGTAGTTAGAGATTAAAAAGAAAAGGAAATAAAGATGGAGGAGGGTAATGAGGAGATGTCAGGCTGCTTGGGATGGGATGGGATGGGATGGGATGGGATGGGATGGGATGGGATGG